CCACCAGCCAGTGTGTGCTCTTCTTCCCCCTCCCTCCCCCCTCAAAAAAAAAAAAAAAAACAGTTCCAGGGTATTTAAAGCAAAATTCTATAGCAGTGGAGAGTGGGAAGAGCCTGAGCCCCTTCCTACATACATACTGTGGTGTTAGAATGGGAAAGGGCAAATGGCTGTCTGCTGATCCATCCCAAAATGAGAATTGATCATGTGAATAGGAGTAGACTAAATAATTTTTAACATGAGGTGCTCAGTTGCTGTGTAAACCCACCTCTAAACATAAAGGCAGATTTGGTACTCATTATAACTTGTAATTATGGGAGATACCTGAATAAGAAGCAAATAAATATGTTAACATGTGGCCTTTTAAATTAGCAAACAGCGACATGCTGCTTTAATCAAAATGCGCTTGAATCAAAATCAGTTGCTAACTTTCATATTATCTGTCAAATTTAGTTAGAAGCACTAACTAAGGAAATCAAAATACTGTTACTTTTGTTGTTGGCAGGTTATTATGCATGGGAGAGGCAGAGGAGTAGCAGGCCAGATGGGCCGAGGACGCTTGATGCCAAATAAACAGAACCTGCGAGTGGTGGAGTGCAAACCTCAGCCCTGTGTTGTGTCAGTTGAAGGGCTTTCTTCGTCAACTACTGATGTCCAACTGAAAAACCTGCTGATGTCAGTAGGACCCATTCAGGTAGGTCAACCTTGCTTTATAATCTTTGTGCCAGAAGTCTTTCTAGAAAGCTTAGTTAATTCTGTAACACAAAATCCAATTTTTTTTACACATAATTACTTCTATTTTAAGGAACTTTTCTCCACTTCTTAATAAAATGCCACAAACATAAGCATGTAGTGAAGCATTGTCATCATGTTCAAAGAAAATATTTTTAGTTATTTATTATTTGTTTGTTATGGTTGGTTTACTAATTCACAACATTGAGTAATATTACTATTGTTATTATAAGTTAGTGAGGCTTTTTTATGACATTTATGACATTTTATGACATTAGCTCTCATTCTGTATACACACTAACTAAAAGGATACCAGAAAATGATTGTTTTAAAATTTAGTTTTTAAAAAATCAAATTTTCAGTAAAATAGTCTGATTGCATAGCGAGACTTTTTAGAAAAGTCTTTTAAGGAACAATGAGTAGTCCTGTGGCACCTGGGAGACTAACAGAAATAAATAGTATCATGCATTTTTATGGGTAAGACCCACTTCATCAGATGATTTGGAGTGAAAATTACAGAATCTAAGATATATAATACCTGTCAATTGTAGCACCTGTGTTAATGAAGCTAATTAAGTGGGCAGTTTGTGAACAAGCCCAAGAACCATATAAAGTATGACCCATCCTAAACCAATGGTGCCTATTTTTGTGCATGCGTGGCCCACAAGTGCATGTGGACCGGATGTGAAACTAACTTATTAGCTGACTAGTAGAGATGCCTTTAAGCAAAAGGAGAGATTTTTTTTAAAACACCCATTGAATTTAGAAGCAGAAGCCTCACTTATTTTCACTGAGAAATAACTTTGAAAATATCTACCAAGTGCTGTTAAATACACAAAGCAAACAAAAAAGAAAATTGACACTCCTCACCCAACCATCTTTCAGTTTTAGTTAGTAATGTTAAGTATTCCCTATAAATGTAGGTACAGAATTTTCAGACAGAAATACAGATGTAAAATTGATTTCACTTTGGAACCTTTTCAGTTAGGTTGTGCTATGTTGTTGTGTACCCTAAAAAACAGATGTCGTTAAGATATATCTCTGTCTCAGTTTTCTTACTCATGAAATGGGACCCTGATTTACCGTATATTCCGGCGTACAAGACGACCTCTGAAGTTAAAAAACATCCCCCAAAAATCGGGGGTCATCTTGTATGCCGGGTATACATCCCAGGCGTGCCTGGGCTGCCCCCACCCCCCCGCCGGCTTCCCCCGAGGCTTTGCCAAGCTGCTGCGGCTTTTTCCCCCCCGCCTCTTGGCTCGCCGCGGCCCGGC